AAAAAAAAAAAAAAAGAGGTAAAATGGGCGTTTTGCAGTCAACTATTTTGTCTCCTCCCATCAAGTTTTAAGAAGTATCTCCATTTTCATTAAGTTCTCGGAACAATACATTTCAGAAACTCTAAACGCTACTGAAGTTGACAACAATCAAACAAAAACGATTAGATTCAGCAGAAAAATGTTTCCGTCATTGCTCAATGTGTTAAATCATTAAATTAAAGAATTAATAAAAAATTAGGATGAAATTCTAAACATATCACCTTGATTCTCTACATTTTTTGAGCTTCCCTTTTGATCCTGAGATGATACTTTAGCAATACCACTGTCACCTCCTTGAGCTTCTTCGGACTCTTCAGGACCGAAACTTTCACCTTGGGCTCTGATTCTTGCAGACTGTCGGGTTTGTACCATAACAGTGACCACTAAAACTTTAAAACATTATAGATATCAAGTTGATTGCGTCAATCTAGGCCAGAAACCGATAGTTGTACTGATACAGTTACGAAACTGTTCAACATTTCTCACTGTACTTCTGAAAAGATCGCTAGAAATTCTTTGAAACTATATACAAATCACGAAGTCCATAAAACAGTGGCCAACATTAAAAATGTCGTAAAAAAAAAAGACTGCCACCACAGATATAAAGACGTAGGGCTACAAATTGATGGACCATTAACTTATACGAGCAACTTATGGCATTTAAATATTTAATTGTATAGTAGGTAACAACTAACAGTATAATTTACTGAAGTTTTTAAAAATTTTTGGCAACAGTTCAAGCAACTGTTAGCCAACGACTACTATAGACTGCAGCATTACTTAAGCCTCTCGGCAATCGTTCTATTGCTCTGGCTAACAGCTTCGTAGTTGCATTTGTACTTCAATTCCACCTTATCCTTCTTTTTTAGCCGCAGGATGAATTATATCTTTGGTTTTTGCCTGCACTTTGTGTTTAATAAAATCAAGAAAAGAAAAAACTAGAAAACTTTAAAGTATTGGTTATAACGTTAATTTGTGAAGTGTCTTTTAGGATGCTTCTTGATGTTGAGAACGGAAAGGTTGATGTCTAAATGAATTCTGTGGGTAAAATCATCTTCATCTTTATTATAAGCTTATTTTCATACGGACGTAACTGAAGACAACAGGTTTTCAGGGAATAGATTTCTTTGATTTTATTTAGAAAACACTAGATAGCATGTTATAACTGCAGTTTTTTCTGCATATATTTTGATAACAGAATTGTTGTAGCTAAATTGTTTTTTGAGCTTAGAAAACATTAGATTTTGACTGCTACTCCTTTAACTGTTGAATCAAAAATTAGCGATTCAGAAAATTAATTCTTCGAGAATTTGAATAGTTTCGCAACAGATGTTATGGAATGGAAATTGGTGCATATAACGCACACGTAGTCGATCAGTTTTTTTTGTGGATTATTTCTTTAGGAAATCACTGTTCTTTGGCTAGAACTTGAACTACAATTAGTAGAATTTCTCATGAAGATAAACGTACAGGTAGAGAAGGATAAAATTTATATTTAAGATGTCACTAACTGGTACATTTCTACGATCATGCACGTGCCGATTTCTAGCTGCAAAACCTGCAGCGGGACTTGGGTTGCCCCACGCGATTGATGGACAACAGAGGCGCACGATAGTGACAAAAAATATGCTGGTTTTGCCTGACGATCATGCAGCGCGAGAACCTTGGCCTTATCAAGAAAAAGGGTAAATTATTTGAGTTTCTTACCGATAAAAAAGACTATCTTTCGCTTTATGTGATGTTTCTTCAATTCGTCATGTCAATTTGTGAAAAAAAATTTTGTTTTTATCTTATTGCCTGGTTGCTCTCCTTTCCTTTTCTTTTCATCCTCCTCCCATCCACCTCTGGTTTTTGTTTTGTTTTTAGAGCTTTCGTCGTCTTGAAAATAAATCTATATATTCTGAAAGAAGTTACAAACGGAGGTGAATGCACTAGCGCTTATAAGGCACCCTGTACAACCCTCTTGATCTAGAAAGTAGAGAATTCTGCATCTAAAATGATGTAGAGATAAGTCAGAAATAGAATAGCGCTACTTAAAAGACTGTCTTAAAAGTAGCAAGAGTGCACCGGGATAAAAGGGTAATTGGCATAGACCAGTGAAGAGAAAAGGTGCATTTAATTGGAATAATTTGTAGGCAATGGGGGTAAAAAAAAGATAGCA